ACAGTAAATGTGGAACGCTTACAGAGCACTTCGTTCTTATCCAGAAGTGACACTGAATTTGCCACATTTGTTTTTTTATTTGGATGCTGTAACCCCGGCTGCTGTTGTAGCTGGAATCTGTGGGCTATCAGCTCCTGTTAAGGAAACTCCACCCCTCTCCGCCCTCCTTCCGCAGAATAATTGTTTCCCTTTCTCCTGATTTTCTGTGCTGTTCTGGTTCAGGGTGACTGACTTGGCTCTGGACTTCCCAATCTTTCCATCAGACTCCCCAGAGAGTTCAGCAATCACAGAGCTTCAGCCTCGAAGTAGCCTTGGGAACTAGAGCCTGGCCAGACTGTTTTTTCAAATAAAAATGCATGTTAATACCATTTTGCTTTTTTTTTTTTTTTTTTTTAAATCTGGCAGGAGGCCTACTGACCTAGTCAACCATTTGCCCTTTCCCTGGATTTTCATAAAGCCCTAGGTCTGAAGCAGCTTAAAATGTGTCACTTTAAATCATTATATCAATTATTCAAACCTCCCTCCACCCCAAGTGGAAAGGCCGCTGAGGCCTTGCTATCTTGGAAAACAAATCTCAGCTTTTAAAAGGCAGAGGGGGAAAAAAGGCATTGGCTCAAAAAGGAAAAGAAATCTCCAACATCAAAATGAATCAATATGTAATTAAATGTTTACAAAACAATGCATCATTGTTGACTCACTTATATTACGAGATACCATATTCGGAACAGAATTCAAAATGATGAAAGGAAACTCACAAAAAGTATAGCAAAAATATTGTTTGTGGGGTGTATTTTAATATGTTTGATACAATGGGAGATGAAAGTCCCCAGAAGTAGAAATGCCCAGCGGCTACCAGGGCCCTGGAGCAGGTACTGAGAAGGCAGCCAGGACCCGAAAGCTGCCAGATACTCATACCCCCACATCAGTCTATAAAACCATGCCTCTTCCTCACAACAACTGCCTTTCACCCAGGACGGGATACCCCCAAAAAAGGCAGCCATCCTCTGTTACTTTATTCACACAGGCTGAGAAGGGGATGGGAGGGGTGGGAAGGTGCTTGACAGCTCAGCGGCCCTCGGGCCTGAATTGCAAGATCCAAGTCGATATTCAGCACTTCCAAGCTCCTCCACTAGGGGCAGTGCAGAGTAGAAACGCCCTCTACCCCGAGGGTCTGAATCCTTGGAGGAAGAGCATGAGGTGACCAAGTGAAATTTTCTTTGAGAATTACGGTTTTATCTTAAAAATATTTGTGTATTTTGCTTTCTTCCCCCTAACGCCTATATTTACTTTACTATAAAGGTAATTTAAAAAACTTGACCAGTAAGAAAACTGAACCCTCCAAGTCTATCAGCTGTGCTGATTTTGTTTTTCACTCCATCGCAGACCTCCGGGGATGGTATCACAGTTTGAGAAATGAGGGTGTACAGGAACACCAACCCTGGGCCTGTCATCAGCTTTACCTAGCCAGAGGGCATCCGGCCAATCTGCCTTCTCTCCAGTCAAAAGGCTTCCGTCTTTCACTCAACCATTCATTTATTCAGCCTTGCTCTCTAATCCTCATGTATACCTGCCCCTCACCTGCCTCTCCTAGTGTTCAGACTGTCCCTGACCCAAGGGCACCCTCCACATCTCCTCTTCCATCCAGACACCAGCCACGGAATCCAGCTCAAGGCCACCTTCTTCCACTGCAGTCTCCCTCTGACTGCTTCATCATATAATCATCTTTCCTTTCTCAAACATGTTAAGGTGTTTTCGTCCAAACCACGGGTATAGCAGTCGGTTTACAACTGCCTTATATGTTGCTCTGATCATGTCGTAGACATACAACTTGTCCCCCAAACTAGACTACGCCACTCGACAGCAGTGACATTGCTTTGCATTCTTTTCTTTTTACCCTGGTAGAAACAGCTCCTGAGCAGGACAAACGGTAAGTGGATAATTAACTCTTCTCTTCCTATACAATGTATTAATTAATCTAATTCGGCTTCCAGCTCTACTTAAGGATCCACACCTTCTATTCTTTTTATTTTCACCAGTTACCTTTGCTCCCCTCTCTCCTGACTCCTTGGGTCAGAAAATATTGGGAAGTATAAGATACAGACATTGTCAACCTGGTCAAGATGGCGGGGTAGGCAGACATGGCTCACCCCTTCAAACACCTACATTAAAATTACAACTAAAATATAGAACCACCATCATTCACATCCATCAAAAACTGAATTGAATGGAAGTCTGACAATCACAGAATTAAAGAAACCACATCCATCCAGACTGGTAGGAGTAGCATAGATGCAGAACAGGCTGGTCCCTCACCCATGTGTGGTGGATAAAAATTCGGAAGGGACATCTCAGGAGAGAGGGGTCTCAGCCTAACACCAGGCCCCCCAGCTCAGGGTTCCAATGCCAGGAAGATAAGTGCCCACAGCTGCTGGCTGCAAAAACCAGCTGAGACTGAGTCAGTGGAAGAAACTTTTGGAGCCCCAAGCAGTTCCTCTTTAAGAACCCACACACAGACTCACCTACTCAGACTCACTCCCTCTGAGCTCCAGCCCTGGAGCTTGAAAGGCAGCAGTGGTAAACAGAGGGAAACTGAAGTGTCTGGCATCAAGAGGGGCAGAGGCCATTGTCCCTTTTCAAAACCCTCGCCACATAGAGCTGGAAAACTGGTGCCATATCTGAGACTCCATCAACCCAGCTAACTAACGTGGTTTGACCCACCTTGGAGATCCCTAGAGACTCCACCACACCCAACTTATAAGCTCACCCAAGCTGCTTTTCCATATGAATGGCTGATCTTGGCTTATGCTTCACAACTTCCTAAATCCTCTCAAACAAGCAACAGCTGGCTTCAGTGAGTCCTAGGCCTAGCACTAACAGCAGCCAGCCTAGATTCACAGCTTGGTTTCACCTGGGAATCTCCAAGTCCAGCACAAGTAGCAGCCATCTCAGATTGCTTTATAGCTCAGTCAGGGTGGCCCTGGGCAAAACACAGGTGAGGGCTTGCCTTGGCCTGCACCACCTGGGAAACACAAGGCCAGTGCACCCAATGGACAGCTACAGACCCTGTTGGAGCTCCACCACCCTGCCCTGGCACAGCTGATCCTCAATGGAGGGCAGAGGTTGGTGGTAGGTGGTCACAGCCAGTCCTTATAGCTGACTAGGCTGGGTAAATCCCTCCCATTGACCTGCCAACAACAACAACCAAGGCTCAACTACAAGAGGAGGGTATACTCAGCCCACACAAAGGGTGCACCTCGAGTACCCAGCCTGGGTGATAGGGGAGGCTGTGCCACTGGACCCTACAGAACACCACATTAGGGCACACTACCAAGAAATGGAGTAAAAGCAGCTCTACCTAATAAACAGGAACAAACACAGGGAGGCTGCCAAAACAAGGACACAAAGAAACATGGCTCAAATGAAAGAACAGATCAAAATTCCAGAAAAAGAGCTAAGCAAAATGGAGATAAATGATCTATCAGATGCAGAGTTCAAAACACTGGTTATAAGGATGCTCAAGGAACATACGACCTCACCAACATAGAAAAAATCCAGTCAGAAATGAAAGAAAACATTAATTGAAATGAAAAACAGTTTACAGGGAAACAACAGTGGGGTGGATGAAGCTGAGAATCAAATCAATGATATGGAACATAAGGAAGCAAATAACAACCAATCAGAACAAGAAGAAAAGAATCCAAAAAAATGAGGATAGTATAAGCAGCCTCTGGGACAACTTCAAGCATTCCAACATTTGCATCATAGGGGGGCTAGAAGGAGAAGAGAAAGAGCAAGAAATTGGAAATCTATTTGAAAAAGTAATGAAAAAAAACTTTCCTAATTTGGTGAAGGAAATAGACATGCAAGCCCGGAAAGCGCAGGGAGTCCCAAACAAGATGGATGCAAGGAGGCCCGGTCCAAGACACACCATAATTAAAATGTCAAAGGTTAAAGATAAAGAGACTCTCAAAAGCAGCAAGAGAAAAGCAGTTAGTTACCTATAGGGGAGTTCCAATAAGGCCCTCAGCTGATTTCTCAAAAGAAACTTTGCAGACTAGAAGGAATTGGCAAGAAATATTCAAAGTCATGAGAAGAAGGGACCTACAGCCAAGATTGTTCTACCCAGTAAAGACATCATTTAGAATCAAAAGGCAGATAAAGCTTCCCAGACAAGAAAAAAATAAAGGAGTTCATCATTACCAAACCATTATATGAAATGCTAAAGGGACTTATTTAAGAAAAAGATCAACACTTTGAACAATAAAATGGCAAAAATTACAAATCTATCAATAGTTGAATCTAAAAAACAAACTAAGCAAACAAGAATTGAGACATAATCACAGACAGAGAGAGCATTTGATGGTTGCCAGACTGGGGGCTGGGGGGAATGGGTAAAGAGGTGAAGGGATTAAGAATTACAAATAGGTAGTTACAGAATAGCCATGGGGATGTAAAGTACAGTATAGGAATGGAGAAGCCAAGGAACTTATACACATGACCTGTGGATATGAACAATGGTGGGGAGATTGCCTGAGGGAGTGGGGGTGCTGGGTGGAGGGGGGCAAAGCGGGGAAATCAGGACAGCTGTAATGGCATAATTAATAAAATATAATTTTTTAAAAAAAGATACAGACTTTTTAATGGAAATGTGCAAAAGACACTCAGGATCACTTCCTGAGGTCCCGGATCATATGAGGTCCCTAATTTCACTTTTAATCATCTGCCCTTATCCTTCACAAGATTTGCCACCGTTTGTATTAAGTATTTTGTATTGTGTATGGTATTGTGTCGATTGTTAGCCTGTTTCGCTCCCTAGATCATAAGCTCTCTGAGGGCAAGGAAGGACCATGTGGCTGTTTTGCCGCACACCCCTCACCCCCGTTGTAGGTGCTTAATGCTCTTCTTGAACGAACGGAGAGTCCAGACAAGGTATTTCAGCAGGTCTTTAAATTCTTGTTCCTCCAATTAAAAAAACTAAGAAACCTCTCTTGCTCTTTCAGACGACACAAGATATACAGAGAGCAGCTGAACCTCACGTCCCTGGACCCCCCGCTGCAGCTCCGACCCGAGGCCAGCTGGGTCCAGTTCCACCTGGGAATCAACCGTCACGGGCTGTACCCCCGGTCCAGCCCTGTCGTCAGCAAACTGCTCCAGGACATGAGCCACTTTCCCACCATCAGTGCAGGTGAGGTCCCCAGGATCACACAGGATGGACTGCGTGTCCCGAGAGGCTGGGTAAACCACCTGGGCTCTGGGTGAAATAGTAAAGGGTTGACTCTGATTCCCGATAGACAGAGGGAGGACGGGAGGGAGGGAGAGGGGAGGGTGGGGGGCGAAGGAGAGAAAGAACCATAGACGTTGACTGCTTCCCTTTGAAAGAGCTCTCACAACCACAATCCTATCACAGCCCCTAAGGCGGTGTTGTGTCTGTGTAAGGTAAGGTGATCGCCAGCATCTAGCGAGTGCTTTTTTCAACTGGACGACCTTCTCTTACATAGTGAGCTTATGGCGTACACATTATTGTTGCCACTTTCCTGATGGGCAATGGAGACTCAGAGGTTAAACAACTTGGCCAAGGGCCAGTAGTGGAGCTGGGATTCAAACACAGGCCTGCTGTCTCCCGGTCTGTGCTGTCAAGCACCGCGACAGCCTAAGTGACAGAGCTGCTTATTAGCAGAGACAAAACCAGCATCAGCTCCCCAACCAGGTGCTGCTGGAGTGTCCCTTGAAGGGCTGGCGAGCCTGGGGCCTGCGATGGCACAGGGTGAGACTGCAGCCAGCTGGGGCTCCAGGAGACCCCCCATTGAATGGGCGCGGAAGGGCCCAGGCTGCCTCACAGCGTCCCCTCTAGGGTCTGGGCCAGAGTCCAGGGCCCCACATTGTTCACTCTGCTAGACACAGCTGAACGTTCTTCCTGCCCGTCTCCTCCACAGACTACAGCCAGGACGAGAAAGCCTTGCTTGGGGCCTGCGACTGCACCCAGAGTAAGTGACGTGGCCCTGCCTCCCCCCAGAGCTCCACTGTCACAGCTGTGCGAGCACAACGCAAAGGGCCCGCCGGCCCCTCCATGGGGGTCCTGGTTGGGAGTTGCAGGGGTGTGACTCTCTCTGCCTCATCTCCGAGAAGTCAACATTTCTCCCCCCGCCCCTCCCCTGCCCCCACACAACAGAAAGTCCCTGCTGGTCAGTGTGTGGTCCGGGCACCAGTCTCCTCGCATCATTGAGAAGTTTGTTAGAAATGCAGACTCTCAGCCCTGCTCTGATTTTCTGAATCAGAACTTGGGAGTGAACAAAATCCTCAAGGGATTAGAGTGCATTTTCAGATTTAAGGAGCAGTTGTACTGGACAGTAGTTCTCAATCCTGGCCACGTATCAGAGCCTCCCAGGGAGCTCTACAAAATGCGAGGCCTGCCTTCACCTCAGGATTCGGTTCAGTTGCAAGGGAGGAGGCCTGGGCATCCACCTTTTAAACCATTCCTAGTGATTCTGATGCAGCCAAGGTTGAGACCCCCTCACCTGCGGTCAATGATTAATAGAATCAAAAAGGCAGGCGTGAGATGCAGCACAGTCCCCTCCCAGGGTGTCATGAATTGGGTACAGTTGTGCCTGGGCACCACAGCCCTCAGAGTGGCCAGGCCAGGCCAGGCCTGGACCTCGCAGCCCCCAGACCAGTCACCACCGGCCATGAGTAGCCTCATCCATTTACCTCAGTGGACCAAACACACATCAGACATTTCTCTGTGTGTCATGACGTGTTAAAGGTTTGAAAGACAGAGGTTTGTAGGCCCTGGAAAGTCCCTTTTCTTTGTCACCTGCCACTTGCCATTTTATAGAACACAGAGGTGAGTGAGACATTGTCACGACCCCTCACAGGGCTCACAGTGGGGCCAAGACAGGGAGGGTGAGTGAGGTGCCCAGGACTCAACAGGTCAGGAGGCAGCTCTCACTGGTCCGGGTCATGCGAATACATCTTAGGTGCCTTGTGCCCCCAGCCTTGTCCTGGCACAGGGGTACAGTCTTAACCAAGAAGATCAATAGATAAACTGGTCTAATGATGCAAGACAGCAGACTGCGTGTTCAGAATCTATAAGGTGCCAATGAAACGCAAAGAGAAAGAAGTTCTTAGGGAAACGTTCTTTGGGGTTTTCTGTCAATGCCTGTCTGGGCAAAACCTACACTGATGGCCCTTTTCCCACAACAGCAGGGAAGGCACTGTCTCGGCCTCCTGGGCCTCCTGGGCCTCCTGGGAACACTCGCAGTGGCCTGATGCTAAGGAATTTGCCCTGCAGGCTTTGAAAAGCACATTCTAGTCTTCAGGGAAAGAGAGAAGGAATCGGTTGGGTTTATTGAGTGAACAAAGGGTCAGGGCCCTGAACTTCTTCCCGGATGCGTGGTTAACTCACCCTTATCACCCTGACAGTTGTGAAGCCCAGTGGGGTCCACCTCAAGCTGGTTCTGAGGTTCTCGGACTTTGGGAAGGCCATGTTCAAACCCATGAGGTAAGTGACTGCTTTCCTTGCCTTAACCCCGCCTGGGCGGCCCTGGGGGAGTTTTGGCCCAAAATCAGTTTTTAAATTTTTAAAACATGGTCGAACATCTTCAAGCCAATCATCTGTGACTCTTTTTTTGAGCAATCTGCCCATGCATTTAGCTGTTTTTGGTGAGAATACTTAAAAATAGGAAGAGCAAGTCCTTATCAGGTCTTTGCTCATATCCATGCTACATACTTTACATGATTGTGTCTTTGGATCATCAGTAACCTTATGGGCCAGGTATAGTTCAAGGGTCTGCTTTACAGGTGACAGCACTGGGGCTTGGAGAAGCCAGCTCCCCCCAACCCCCCAGCCACAGACAGGGCAGCCAGGAGTCAACCTCAGGCAGCCGGGCGCTAGGTTCACACTCTCCCACTATCATCGATGCCTGCTTGTTTCTGGGTCTAGGGACCCTCAACGCATTTACATAACAATACTGGTTTTGAATGAAAAACGAGGCAATGGAAAAGGCCATAGTGAAGTCAATAATACTTTTAAATTAATTTCTCTTTTATAAGAACAGCAAATACCTGCCTTTAACATTTTGTAGTACGTGGGTGACATAGTATGTATCTAGTCTACAGAATCTGGTGTGCATATGGATTCTTGGCCCCAAAAGGGTGGAATGTCCGATTATATTTAATGTATTGAATTTTTAAAATCTCATTATATGAAACAATATATAGATTCATAGATGTTGTTTCCTGCCCAGTCTCACATTTCACTTGTCAAAACTTTTGACATGGGGCATCGTCACTGGAGCCAAGGTTAGGGTCGATGTGAAATGAGTGTTGAATTCTCCCCCATCACCGCCGCCCGTCTGCTTTAACCAGTTCTGTCAGGTCATAAAACCAGGGCAGAGTGAAGTCCACTCAGGTTAATGAATTTGTCCCAAACAAAATAAAGAAATTGAGAGGGGACCCTGACATTTGAGAGGCTATGCAAGGACTCGAACACAGAAGGACTCCTTTTCTAAGGGACAGTTTTGGGAGGGGATCCCATCTTATGTTCAGGCATACAAAGTCCTAAAAAAGCAAACAAACAAAGAGTGTGCCTTTTCAGAGAGAGCTGCAGCAGAAGCCCCGAGGGCCGAGGACCCACAGGCAGGCCCGCGACTCTCTGGCATGCCGCTCGGCGGCACACAAGGGCCACGTCGCGTTCAGGCCGTCACAGAGTTTTCCCTTATGGTTCTTCGTGCACATGTTTACTCCAGAAGCATCGGTTAAAGAGAGGAAGCGTAAGGACAGGGACCTAGAAGCGTGAGACGTTAACCACCATGTTGTACACCTGAAACTAAGACACTATTGTATGTCAACTGGAACTGAAAAAAATATTATAAAAAACATGAAATGTTAAAGAGAAACATAAAAATAATAACAAATCTTCAAATTCACACATCATCAAATCCATCAGTTGTGTTTTCTAAGCTCTAATTTTTAAAAACCAGGGGCTTCCATCAAGTAATAAACTGCACTTTCACTTGGAAGAGGGAAAAAACTACTCACATCCTCTGTGTCTTTGCAGGAAAGCAAGTGCCAGCCTCAACATCTCTGCTTTGCCTTGTCAGATAAAAACAAAATACAGGGATTGTGCAAATTAACCGGTTTCCTTCCTGGATATAAGGCAAAAGTTTCCCACATTAGGTTGTAAATGCATTTTCTCTATTCTTATGCCATAACACAAAGTTTAATCTGCAACTTTAGAAAATTTAGACCAAGGCAAAACCCAGTATTGTTTTAAAATGTATTTCTTGAAAAGATATGCATTTTTTTTCTATAACTTAAAGAGCATCTGTCAATTATTAAAAAGGGAGAGTAGACATTTGTCTTTGAATAATATAAATCATGAGCATATTAAAGGTCACATTTTTAAGGTAATAGATACAACATGCATACCATGAGAAAGTGCTTTGAGAAGCACTAATGTCAAATTAAAATGATTTTGAAATTTAAAATCGCTTCTATCATGTGCCATACAAAAATAAGGAAATGATGTTTTAGAAAATTCTAAAAGGTGTCAGAGAGATCGCATATTCTGTGGACGGAATTTGGGAATTAAAACAAGATTAAGACACAAGGCTAGTCCTTGCTGGCGGACATGTTTGGTGACGCTGACGAGGAGAGGCCGGTCCAGCCCAGGCTGGACTTTGCAAGTGACTACACCTTTCAAAAACATGAATTCAAAGTAGAAGCCCGACTTGGGGCAGCCCCTCACTGTGGTTACCAAGACTCAAACATGCACATCACCGTTTCCATGGCTGGTGCTGTTTATTTTCAGCTTTCCGCAACATTATGTTTATTTACATTTAAGTTGCATTTGCAGCCATGGTGTAATCCCAAACTATGGATTGTAAAATTATTCAATTATCATTCCTCTATGTTTATTAATGCTGATGCCCTTCATGACTGAAAGGACTTTCCTGGTCAGACACACCCATCAGCCCACCACGCTCAGGCAGGCTGAAGCTTTTCAGGAATCTACTCGAGTTAAAAACGTATATAAATCCACATCCTTTACACCAGCCTCCTCCCTCAGCCCTCTGGCTGGTCCTCTCATGACCCAGCAAGGTGTCTTGGAGGAGACGAGACAGTTCCCTTACTCCTCCCTATCACCCTAAGTCCCGGAACTCGTCTGTCCTTCAAACCTCAGTCATGGAAGTTGCATCTCTAGGGCACGTTTGCTTTTATAAAGTCCTGTCTTGCACCTCGCCTCTCTTAATCCTTGGCATCTTGGTCTCTACTGCTCCGCTTTTGTGAGCCAGATCCCTCTCCTCTGCTTGTATCTACAGAAAGCAGCTCTGTATTTCTTCCCTCTCAACTACTGGATGTTTTAAACAATCAGCCGCTGTCACCAAAGCTTCTGAAGGAGACTTGGTGTTGGGGTGCCAACACGGCCGTGTCTCGCAGGAAGCTGGGGCCCTATTGCTGTGCACGCCTCCTGGCCCAGGGAGCCACAGGCCACGCTTGATTTGTCATCCTGGCAACTCTGCGTGTATTAGCATACATTAAAAGCATAAAAGTGCGGTTTCCTTTCCCTCCGGTCATGCTCATCAGCCGTCTTCTCAGGCTCCCAGCTGAAGTCTGCGTCCAGGGCATGATTCCCTCCTTCTTTTCAGACAGCAGCGAGATGAAGAGACGCCCGCGGATTTCTTCTATTTCATTGACTTTCAGAGACACAATGCTGAGATTGCCGCTTTCCACCTGGACAGGTAGGGTCCGGCGCCATGGAGATGGCACTGACCGCAAGGGCCGATCTCAAGAGGGGCCGCTGGGCACACACACAGGTGGGCCCTCCCTGGAATGTCTTCCTTTTGGCTCTTTATTTCCTTCATGTACCTCAGTGATGCCTCGAACGCAACACATCCAACCCAACCCCATGGATTGGCTCAAGCTGCCATCTTGAGCGTGATGTTGCCTATTGCTCTAGTTTCCGGGTCTGAAAATGGGGAGAATGCACCCACTCCCATTTAGCCAAGGAGACTCAAGGTTGTGATATTAAAGCACTTCCTAAACTCCCTGGCTCCTCCCATTTGCGCAGTCATTGTGACGCAAGGTGTGGTCTGTGCGTGGCAGGCCAGACACCACCTGGGCGCTTTTTAGCCTTACCCTGCACCCACTGAATCAGAGCCTGCATCTGAACAAGATCCCATGTGACTCATATGCACATGGAAATATGAGAAGCTGTAGCCTAGAACACAGCTTGGATGGTAGAAGTTTTGCCCAAAAGGCTTGATGGAATCGGGATTCCTCTTCTGCCCCTCCTTCTACCTGTTCCGATGTGGGTTTGCCCTGGGCACCGTCCACTCAGCTCTGCAGAGACCCCCGCAGCTGAGCATGGTCAGAAATGCCAGTCCATTTTTAATGTGTGACTATCGAACTCCCTGGCTATCTCTCAGATCTGAACAGAGCTCCCTCTCTTTCAGGATTCTGGACTTCCGACGGGTGCCACCAACAGCAGGGAGGCTAGTCAATGTCACCAAGGAAATCCTAGAGATCACCAAGAATGAAATCCTGCAGAGTGTTTTCTTTGTCTCTCCAGGTAGAGTGCTGGCCAAAGCAATCTTCTGGGTCTAAGGACACAGTAGGCCAACGTGGCCGCCGTTACGGTCAGCAGTGGTCTGTCCTGCCAGTAGCAACATCCATTGCTGGGATGGGTGTATGTTGCCATCCAACACTCCCCCCACCAAGTCCCCCTGAGCTTCACACAAGAGGGACTGAGGATGGGAATAGGTCATACCTGAGATCCTAACTAGCCTGGGCAGGCACCCCCAATGACAATGCCGACCTCCCCGGAATGAGATGTTACCTGGACAAAGGACACTCCAATCATATGGATGGGAGGCAGTGGGGCTGGGTCTCACACTTTCTCTGCTCTGAGACATTTGAAAATTGGCACTCTGGATGCTTGGTTTAAGAGCATTCACCATCTAGAAAAGTTCAGGGGTCCCCTTCCCTCCGAGTGCGTTTCTTGGGGCAGGAAGACGATCTGCCTCCAAGGCCCTTCTCTTATACCTCCTCTCCCCTGTCCCATCCTCCAGCCAGCAACGTGTGCTTCTTCGCCAAGTGTCCCTACATGTGCAAGACCGAGTACGCTGTCTGCGGCAACCCCCACCTGCTGGAGGGCTCCCTCTCCGCGTTCCTGCCGTCCCTCAACCTGGCCCCCAGGTTGTCTGTGCCCAATCCCTGGATCCGCTCCTACACGCTGGCAGGAAAAGAGGAGTGAGTTGGCCTGCGGCCACTGGCCATGCACATTAGTCCCTGAGAGTGACCACAGTTCTATACCAAGGACTGTGGCTAGCCTGGTTTTTGGACCCTAAAAGCTACCTCAGTCTTCCTTTGCCTCATCTCATACCGATCCTGGGACCACCTGGCCTGTGTTTATTCTCCCCTTAGTTCATTTATTCGGTTATAAAGAGCCTACTATGTACCCAACACTAGGTGCTGGAGGATACAGAAATGAAAGACACAGGCTCTCCCCTCAAGAAGCTCCATGGTCTAGCTGGATGGTCAGAGAAATAGCCAGATTCTGCAAACACAGTGCAAGACCTGCTGTGACACAGAGAAGCATCGAGGAGCCCACAGGGGACACCTGGTTCCCCTGAGTAACCCTGTGAGGCCAAGGAACCCTTTGTTGTATCCCCAGGGCTTAGCATACCCCTGGCACATAGTAGGTGACCAATTCATATTACTTGACTCAATGGATAGGTTCCCAATGCTATTCGTTAGGATTAGTAACCCAGAGAGGTCAAGTTCTGGAGGACAGGACAGATCCTGAGGGATCTGAGAAGGCTGAGCGCCCACCGATAAGGAGGGACATGGCTGGGGGCGGGGATACAGGGAGAGGAGCGTGTGTGAGAGACAGAACGCGTTGTAGGGGGACGGGAGACATCTCAGGAGAGCTGCCGGGCCCGAGGCGCGGTGAGAGGAGCTGCAGAGGAAGCAGGTCAGGGCCACGCAGCCAGGCTGCCCCTGCTGCCTCGTCATCGCCCCCCGGCATGTGGTATCCCAGCTATCCGTGGGATGTCCAGCACAGTGGACACTCAGGACACGTGTCCTCAAAGGACCCAGAAAATTCTCACCACATGGACTCCGCGGCCCCCCACATCTTCGCCCAGGGTCCACCCCAATGTAACCAGTTACCGCCTGCATGCCCAGGGCAGGGTTAGCGAGGCAGGGATTTGGGGGGCGGGAGAGGTGTGAGGAGGGCCCCCAACACCTTGCCATCTTGGCTCTTCCAGCCCCAGGACTGGTTCTCCCCCTCAGGTGGGAGGTCAATCCTCTTTACTGTGACACAGTGAAGCAGATCTACCCGTACAACAGCAGCAACCGGCTGCTCAACATCATCGACATGGCCATCTTCGACTTCCTCATCGGTAGGTCCCATGCCCGGGGCTCTCGGCAGAGTGGGCTCTGCTGCTGGTCTGGGATCCTCCCCGACCTTGGGCACGTTGCAGCCCAGACCATGAGGGCAGAATAACCCCACATTGCCCATGGCACAGAAGTGGCAGAGGTCCCGGGGGAGAGAAGTTAGCATGTTCCCCTCCTGAAAGGGGACGTCACTCTGAAGGCAGAGATACAAGCCAGCCAGGCCCAAGTGGGCCTCAGGTTCAGGCCTCGAGTTCAAGTCACTGATTCCCTTGACCAAGTGAGGGGAAACCAAGAAGGAAAAGAGTAGGGTGCCCAATGAATGGGGAGCTATGGGAAGGCCTCGGGAAGGGGCTGGTCATCCACCTTGCATGTCCCTCAGGGGCCCCGGAAGGCTGGGGGACAGAGTTCTGAAGGCAGCCGGCGCACACATGTGCAGATCTGAAGTCCCACAGCACCCACCCCAGCTCACTCTCACACCCTATGGGGAGTTCACCCTTGTCTGCTTACTACAAGAAGCCTCAGTTGAGGAGCCCCGGTGAGGAAAGGCAACATCAATGCAGAGTGTTCGAGTCCCAGTCCGGGGGCAGGGGGAAACAGTGAAAGCCTGAGATTCGCAAAGTCCACACTGGGGTTTGTTGGTTTGTTTAGCTTCCTTCTCCCTCAACAACATCCCTAATCACCACGGGGAAATGACAGCTTGTGTCCCTGGGTTTGACTCTTTGTCTCAACTGCTCAAAGGCCTCCATGCACTAGAAAGAAAACAGAAGGTCCGAAGCACCTGCCCCCTGGCCTAGGGGCCTTATCTCCCGAGTCTTCCTCCTTTACAGGAAATATGGACCGTCACCATTATGAGATGTTCACCAAATTTGGGGACGATGGGTTCCTTATCCACCTTGACAACGCCAGAGGGTAAGTGTCCCACCGCTCCCCCTGGCAAGCCTCACCCCTTGCAGCTGCTCAGGGGAACCAGCGGCCCGAGAACAAGGGGCTCTACGGTCGCGTTCCGTCTCCTTACCCTACTTGTTTCATTTCTTTTTTCGCTTGATCTGTGTGAAGTACCACTTGGCCCAAGAGCACTAGTGAAATAATTGGAGTTTTCCATATTTTTTTACTGGAGGGTTCACTCCTGGGGCAGCACGTGGCTAATCCTGTCCGGGGGGGGCCCCCCCCTGCAATTGGTAAATGAATGAATGGATGAATGGCTGCTTGGTTTGAATATCTTTGGGGAGAACTGTGTGACCTGACTGAGGACAGGGGCTGGAGGGGCAGCTTCCAGGATCCCTGGCATTTTACCCCAAGCTGTGCTTCAAAAAAAAAAAAAGGCTGAGGGAGAGAAGAGGGAATAAGCATTGCGGAGGGAGATGCTGCCTGCCACCCATGAAAACCTGTCTTCTCCTAGGTTTGGACGACACTCCCATGACGAAATCTCCATCCTCTCGCCACTCTCCCAGTGCTGCAGGTGAGCTTCCGTTTAAGGGCAGGCCACAATTGTGACACTTCATCCTACTTGCAACCAAGTTCTGAAGCTCTTAATCGGTTTCCATTGGTTTGGGACACAGGTGGGGAGAATGTCAGGAATTACCACGGACAGAATTTTCCCCGACGACAGCTGAGATTCTTTCATCTTTCAGCTTGGGATGAATTAGGATCTTCAAAAAAAAAAAAAAACCCTTCAATCACTGACTTTAATCTTTAGCCCCCTCAGATAATCATCACCCACTCTAGCAGAGCTTGTCTTTGATATGACTAACCAGACCTCTGCTTCGCCCAGCGCGCGTAGCAGCTCATGAATATTACTACTTGATCACCCTCGAAGTAAAATTCTGACTGCAGTCCCACAAGCCCATGTCAGATTGAAAGAAGTACTGACACCTTTGGTCACCATTTCTCTAGAGGATCTCTGACCTACTTCTCTCTCTGGTCTCACCAGGCTTGTGAAATTGTCCAGCTGCTCAGCCACAGTTAGAGCTAATTCGAAATATGTGACTCACACTTAGAAAATCATCTCATTCACTTTCACCTGGAACTCAGGATGAAGCCTGAAATTTTCTTTATTCCCTTCTTGGGTTCATGGAAACCCACCTTCCTTCCCACCTCCCTTCCTCTCGTCCTGAGGAGGGCAAGCCGTTTAGGACAAAAGTCAGACAATGAGGCTGCTTACACATCTGAGTCCAGGTCACATTTCCATGAAAAGCAATCAAAATCCTGAGGTCGGGGCCAGTCCCACCCCATCTTCATCCCTCTGACTTGGGAATCAGACACCGAGAAGTATTATAAAGTTGCCAAGAAACTGGGAGGCCGGCAGTACCCAGGGCTTTTGAGATGGCAAACGTCATCGATTCACTACTGGAAACCTCTCGTAGCCTTAAGTTTCCCTGGAAAGTCTTTATCGCTTCGGATTCCCTTAGCAATGTCAGGTGCATACGGTCCAGAATTCCTGGGGGGCATTATGACGAGTAGAACATAAACGACTGCGCAGCCCTATGACCAAGTGTCAACTGGAAAAGGGCTGCAAAATCCTGGGTCATCTTTTAGTCATTCCTTTTTACCTGGTTTTCATTGAAATGTGCTTGATAAGACAATTCAGGGAGAGGCTCTCAGAACATCAGCTACAAAGACTTCTTGTGGAAGAAGTGAGCTCAGGTAAGTTATTTTCTTTACATTTACTTATGTGGTGCCTGACTTTGTCCTCCCAGGATAAAAAAGAAAACACTTCTGCACCTGCAGCTGCTGGCCCAACCTGAGTACAGACTCAGTGACGTGATGCGGGAGTCACTGCTGGAGGACCAGCTCACCCCCGTCCTCACAGAGCCCCACCTCCTTGCCCTGGACCGGAGACTCCAGACCATCCTAAGGACAGTGGAGGGCTGCATCAAGGCCCATGGAGAGCACAACGTCATAGCCAATGCCCCAGCAGGACAGTCAGCCCCAGACTCTGGCCAGGCTCACTTGACAAGCTAGGGGCTGGATGAGTCCAACTGCAGAAACTACCCCTGGAGCCAGCATTGGACTCAAGTGTGGACCACTGCATCCACACGTGCCCCTGCGATGCTGGAGGTCCTGGGGCATGAGCTCGGGAAGCAGGCAGGGCATTGGGATGATTCGGAAGCAGCCAAAGAAGTGGGCTCCACCGGCCTTTCCTCCTTGGTGTGCCACTTCTCCAATGGACGGCCTTGGCTCCCTCTTGCCCCGGAAGCACGGCTTCACCAAGTCCATAGATCAGCTCCTGGGCCAGCTGGGAAATCGGGATAAATCTGGGTGCATGGAAGGCATGAAAAGTTTGGAAGCCTTGTTCCCACAAGAGTATTAACTGTTATAAATAAAAGGACATCCCATGGACATCTAACTAACCTCCGGATTCTTTGTACCTACAAGGGTAATTCCCAATCCAGGTAAAAGCATCGGGCATATTGTAACCAACAAAGAAATCTAAAACTACCACCTCTCAAATTGGTTCAACATAGACCTCACACTTTCTACTTACACTCCAGTCACTGTGGCCCAGTCTGAGGACAGCGATCATTATTGACCGATCCTCTAATTTCTAAGAAACGTTATTACAAGAGGTAAAAATAACAGAGATCTGCTCAGAGTATGAGAAAAGGGATGTTTTGATCTGAAGACTATGTAAATTACCAATTGAAATAATATCAAGCGTGTCAAAATGAGCACCCAAAAACAGGGAAAATTTTAATGAAACGAGGGTGGTCTTGAAGGTGGGGCAGCACAGAAATGTGCCTGGCAGGTGTATGAGCCCGGACTGAGGCAGGAGAAAGCGCGGGCCCACCCCAGCTCAGGCACCACAATCTTCCCTGAGATCCAGGAATGGTCCCTCTCTTCCCCCCAAGAGCAGCAGGGGCCACCTGGAGAGGTCTGGCGCGCTAGGCTCCCTTGTCAGCAGTTTCCTCGAAAAGGATCAAACCAAGCTTACTTTGCAAACCTCCCACAGAAGGGGTGTATCGGGGATTCCCGTCTCCCCCACATTCTCCCTACTGACTTGCTGACACCTGAAACTCCTTTAATAGGGAGCTATTTCTTATTCCGTAATTCATGACTAAAAAGACAAATGCCAGGAAAGTATTCTTACTATAGTCAACAAGTCAGTCAACAAATAAAAACTTCTGATTATGTTTCAACTTACAGAAAAAGGCCAGCAGCTCAAATATAGTACAAGTGTGAGAGAGGTAGAAAAAAAGCTGTCACTGAAGAGGATACAAGGTCATGAACTAGAGAAGTCATCCAAAACTTCTGCAATGTGTCCAAAGGCGGCCCCGACTGGACAACAACAAGGGAATCTCTGCCGCACCCTGACACCTCACAGCACATTGTCCCTGACCCTCCTGTCTCTACCGCCACCATTCACTGAGCTCTAACTACAGGTGAGAATGGACACACGGTTCCCAATCCCCCCTCACCCAGATAGAATCCCCTACTTCCAATGCACACAGAAGAAAAATTATGCTGAGATTAATGAAAAGCACACAACTCAGTGACTTAAACCTATTCCACAATGTTCTTTCCACCGTAATACAGAAACCCGACAGAATCTTGCCCAATTTATGAAGTTGTATTTCTTTCAAAAAAATTTTTTTGATAGACTTTAGAGGATGAGAGAGAAAAAACACCCCATCATTTTGTTGTCCCACTTATTTATGCACTCATCGGATGGTCTTGCGTGTGCCCTGACCAGACAGCAGACCAGCAACCTTGGCATATCAGGACAATGCTCTAAGCAACTGAGCTACCTGGCCAGGGCTGGAGTTATATAAGGAAAAAAAAAAAGTCAGCTCATTAATAGAGGACCCTTAATTGCACACACTTCCCTTACAGAGGAAACTACTACAGCCCAGGGCTCCCCATTTCATGAACTGTTTGCCTGCTTCAGGCCAGTAATTCCCTGTGGAGGGACCAGGTAATTTCACACACAAGGGAGAGAGATGTCCAGGCAGAGACATTCAAAGAAGAGCACGGTGGCCTGGGACTTCCAAATTGCAAAGCCTCCAAAAGGCAAGCTGTAGCTCCATCAGAGAGCCTTTCTTAGGACAATACACTGGTTTTCCAACAGCCTAAAATACAACTTTTGGTGTACTTTACAAACTGAGAGAGAACTGAGTTTGACCACAATGTGCAGACTACCCAGATACCTAATTATTCACTTATCTTAAACATTCCATTAAGTTTTCACTAATAACAAAATCAAGACTCCATCATTTGTCAAAAACAGCAGAAAACAAGACTCTCTTCTTAGAACTATTATCAAGTTCTTCTCTCATGTTCGTTTTGGACCATTGTTCAACTTGCCATGACATAAAAATCCTCCTGTCTCTATGTAGAAGTTGTTCTTGTTACTACTGACAGTGAACTAAAAAGTGAAAGGGACTTCTACAGCATAACCTGGCGGAGAAAAGGCATTTGGAGGAATTCACTGTATCCTTCCAGAAAGTCAGGAGGACACTTGAGTTTGAAGACTGTAAAAAATACAGCTGATTCTCTTATTTGTGCTAGTTTTACGGTCTATAAGGTCAACAGACACTAAATTAATCGATACTGCACCATTTGCTCCTAGAGGAAATATAAGGGTTTAGGTTCCTATGAACCTCTGGTTACACTTTTATCAGCCAATCAATATATAATCTTGTTTTATGTGTTAAGGTGTGTTAAAGAAACCTTAACATATAGTGTTGATTCATTAGCATTAAACTTGTGGTCCACAGCTCTGTATGTAACTCATGCCTGAAAGAAGCTTATTTAATACACTTATTTTCCCCATAAGGCACACCACATCCTTCTTGCCTGAGAAATGCTGGCCAGCACTTCAGCACTATACTTGGTGGTCATTTTAAACAATGAAATCACCGAGAGAAAGCACAAAAATGCAAAAAACAAAAAAAAAAAAAAAAAGGAAAGCGTTAAATAAACCATGAAAAGGACATCTGATTATAGTCTGAGAGCCCAAACAACAGGTAGGGCATCACCTCGCTCAACCTGATTGGGTCACATGCATTCCAGGAGACTCAGGCATTTCAGGAGACTCAGTCTTTTACCACTCATGTCTGGAAATGACTGTGAAGGGCTGTGAGTACTCATTTTGGGGTTACAAATAAATGTTTTAGCCAAGTGGGCAAATACACAAAATTTGTAAATTCAGTATCTGAACAAGAATCAACTGTATCTCATTTTGAGATTAACATAAATGACAAAAAAGCTCTCCATCTAGTGGTGACTTTTAAAATCAAAAAGCTACTTGAGCTCAACTGGCAGAACTATCACAAAATGAAAATAATTACCCATTAGTGGTTTTGGTAGTCACAGCAGAATAGAGTTGAGTCACACCTCTGAACTTATGCCAGTAAGCAACTTCTAACTTTATGGGTACACATCAATACTAGTGTCTATGTAAAAGTTCCATAGTTTAAGAAGCAAGATCTATGATTCCCCCTTTTAAATTCTTCTATTTATAGCATTTACTAATCACGATAATGATAGCTACTTTGGGAGATGTATTAAATGGTGACCTAACAATTGCTTCTCAAGGTTGTTTTACCAAAAGGGTTCAGCTATTAATTTGTGGTTGGAGATACAGCAGTATTAAGAAAACTAACATCATGCTGCTTCAATTTTTAAATGTTAATTATTTAAGTCATTAAAAAGCAAAAAACAATTCCATGTGAGCCAATGTTTTAGAGTGGGGATTAAACTATAACCAGTCAGTTAACCTAGGAAAATTTTTAGTTGTATTCTAACTCTGTTTTTCCCACTCCGGTGAGTCAAGGGAAGGGATTACTGAATCTGGACAAGCTGTTACAAAGCAGTGCAAATTAAAGGTTGTTCTAGATACAACATATCTCCAACTCACTGGATATAAAGAAATTAATACTGATATACTAATAAGTACAACTTAATTACCTCAACTCCCCAAAATCTGGGGAATAGATGTCAGATATAAGACTTTATATATGCAAAATATATAAACATACCTAAATATCTAAGTGACTATTAAATTTAAACTAAAAGAGTATGCTGATCCAGGAATAATGTTTCCCCGTTAAGTCTGGGAAAGTTCCAAAACCAGAGAACCAGTCTTCGATAAAAAGGAAATCTTTAGCTTTTGAATTAATTTTTTCCTTCTACTACTCTGTGAACATACCTGCTATATCTCAATTACCTTTTAAGCAAGGTTTTCAGATTCATTCTTTGACAAACTGACTTGAAAACCATTGTAAACAAACACATGACTCTTTTAAAACATTATCCCATAATTCACTTTTGATTTTCATTCTTGCCCACCAGACTGGGAGATCCCAGGGGGAGAGGTGGAGGAAGAATAGAAGGAGAAAGGGAAGAAAAACTGATTCATTTAAGAATTTAAATTATTTAACCTTTTTTATTACTTGACCTACCGTTAAGACAATCTATAACAAAAAGAATAGAGTATATTAGCACACACAGTACAATCAGACTAGTAACCAGGAAACAATACAAAATGGTCCTTTGGCCATCTATACTTTCTAGAGCAACAAATCTGAGAAATTCACTTAGCAAGCTCAGAAATGATGACTTCTAAAGTCCTTATTATCAACTAAGACAAATTATGCCAATCGTGATATCTCACATATACTCAGATTGCACAAAGATAAAGCTTTAAATGTGATAATTTTTAAATTTAGCCTTAAAATTTCTTAGATTAAAAACTACAAAAGGGAGTAAACAGCAAGCCCAAATGACCTAAGAGCAAAACTCATTTAGGAAGCATTCTATGTATCTAAATATACATGAACATGATTATGTACATATATGAAACCGCAATTTATGGCATTCTAAATAACTCACTTAAGTACAGTTTTGGCATTTAAACAAAGATCAAATCAAGCTTTATGCTAATAGGAACATAATTTTTATTTTTAGTTTTTTAAATATAAAAAGGTACCTAAACACAAAGTATAGATCAGAAAATCGTCATTTAATATAGATTATTTTGAAACATAAAAAAATTTGTAATAAGGTGGCTTTCTCTCCCACACTGAATTGTAAATAAAACCTCTTTCCCAGATTTATACTCCAAACATAGTAGTAACACCCTAAAAAACTGTTCCAATCTATGAAAAAAATCTACCATGGCCAATTTAAATAACCTGGGAAAGGGTAGGAGAGGGGGTTAGTAATCAGAGCAGTAGCATACAAATGGAAAAATGCTTGCAAGTCACTCCCAACTAGAACCCTACATTACATATAAATCACAATGAAAATAAAAGTGCCTACATTACGGAACTGTGATATTTTGTTTAAAAAAATAACATAATAAAAATAAACTGTTGGGTATCATTGGTGCACATGGAATAATGTAACACATAAGGTTGATAAGGCTGGAAAATACTGAAATACAGTTAAGACTCAAAACAGAAGCTTATTTTAAAAAAACAAAAAGCCTGCCAGAGAAATAAATGCTAGATAGGAAAGCAGAACTTTTCAGCAGAGTAGCCTTTTAGACCAATTTGAAACAATACAGACACACCCTACCCTACCCCCCACTCACCATAATTTCTAGCTGATGCAGAAAAGGGGGGGGAAATGTCAAACCAAAATAAAAAACTCCTCCCCAAATCTCTTGCCCCAATGAATTTAGTGGGGCAAAGTTCCCAACAATGAACTCTGTCTACCTGGCATTTCTCCCTTTAGCAACCTCCATTTTTTCAGACATTTGTTCCATATATTCTATCCCCAGCAAATCCAATCTCCTGGAATCAGTGCTTAATGAGTATAGGAGATTATCCTGGAGTCAACGGAAAGATGTACACTAACCAAAAGCTCCAAGTTAACAACCAAGAGTGTAGACCTCAAATTCTTATTCTCAATTCCGCATCTGATGATCAATATTTGGCACTAGCTGGATAAATAAAGGTCTAATCAAAATTTGTGAGCTGAGGAAGATGTAGTTAAATCATAATCAATATTTGCAGGTTATGATTCAGTTTCAAACTCAAAAGGCAGGTATAAGATAGCCACCCCTAAATGTATTTCAGAACTGGGGAGGAAACAAGATATAACCAATGCCAGGCAAATTAGCTTGACAAACAAAAATTTTGGTTAAAAAGAAAATAAAAGTAACATCATATCCATCTGATAATAAGCAAAAATGGGCACTTTTCCACCCTTAATCTAGTTTATATACAGGCAGATATCCTTCTAAGATTCTTCTATATCCATTTTTCCTAATCCTTAGAGCTTAATGAGAAATCTTTTATTCTATAAAGAAATACGGCATATATGGCCACAGTGTAAAATATATTTATGATAACTGGAAAATTACATCACTTAAAAAAAAGTCTTGCACTGTTACATCTTTACTCCATGGTTAATTCATTTGGTGCAGGGATCTGCCCTCACCAAATGGCACTGCACGCACTGCCCAGGCTGAATACTAACACTGCACAGAGAGAAGCAGTAACAGTAAAGTCTCCGTAGAACTCTCTATTTATTTAACTGTGTCTGAGCATTCAGTTAATGCTCCAAATTAAAAACGGTGCAAGAAAAGCAACTTTTAATATAAACAGACAAGAAGCTGCGATGCCAGTGGCCACATGGCGCTGCGAATAGGGAAAATA